AGAAAAGGAGGGAAGTGGATCAGGAAGGATGAACAGGGACATGGAAGAGCTCCTGGCAGCACAGGGAATAGCGGAGCAAGACTCTGAGGATTGCAGGAGAGATGTCTGATGGGGATGTGACACATTCCCAACCTCATGGGCAGCATGGAGACAAGTCAAGAGCTGTCCTGGTGTCACTGCTGCTCCAAGCACATGAAGGAGGGGTGTCAGATGGCCTTATCAGGCAGCAGACCTAAAACAAAGAGAAGGAAGTGTTTTTTCTTCCATCAGATAATTAAACTATGGGAGTCTCTGACCAGGATGTTGTGGGTATTTATCCTAAGGGATAAATGGATTCAAAAAGCAATTAGGCAATTTCCTGGATGAAGATCTCTCTGAGGCCATTAACCACTGGGATGTAAATACAACTCTGTAAATACTTGTCCTGTTCCTCCTCCTCCTCCTCCCCTGAGCACTTGCTGCAGATGACAGCCAGAGACAGGAGTCTGGGCCACAGGGCTTGGGCCAGAGGCATCTGCACTGTCTGTGCCACTGCAGTCACTAATGGCCCTGCTGACATCACAGTGGGTGAATTTGGGTCATCTTCTCCCATTTTCCAGCCAGGGGATGGAGGGACAGAGGAGCTGAAGGTTCTCAAAGGGTTTGTGTGGGAGGAGTCCAGCTGCCCTGTATTACCTGGTGCCTTTCTGATACTTGCACATAAACGTGGCCACAACCTCTTTCCTCCTGCTTTAAAGACAGCTGGAAACATCTGGACAAATGATGTTTGCCAAAGCCTCTGCCTCCAGCAGCCAGGGCAGCTCTGATGGGCACTGTTGTTATTCCCAGTGTTGTTATTCCTGTGCTGATTGCCCCCAATTTGCACAGAGCTCGCCAACATGAAAATGAAACCAGCAACGACTTGCAGGGATTGTGCATCCACCTAATGAGGATCAGATGAGTTGTTCTCCCACCCCCAGACCTTCTCCCACCTCGGAAGATTTATGTGGCTGAACATGTTTGTTCTGATCAATGACTGTGCTGCAGACACGAATACAAATGTAAAAGAGAGATTACACTTTTGATCCAAAGCCCACTAAAGGCAGCAGAAAGACTCCTGATGCTCACAAAAAAAAAAAAAAAAAAAAAAAAGGTTTTGGCTGCAGTGAAAAAGATGAAATTTTTGGTCAGCTTCAGTGAATAAAGCACCTTGTTAGGCAGTGACAGATTTTATACAACCCACAGCTATTTATCAGTGAATGTATCATTGCTTTCACCTCTCCTAATGGGAGGATTAACTTGTTTAAGGCAGGAATTCAGCACCAGATCTGATTTGTTGCGTTTGCTTTTCACTCATCTTCGAGATGACAAGAAACATGAAACAGAAGCAAAGCTGCTATTTTTAGTTTGGCTTTTCCCATCCAGAAACTTGGCACTTAGAAGGAAAAGCAGGAGCAGGTATCTGGTGTGTGTTGCTGACCAGGATTGTTTCAGCACCAGGATACAGGAGCCTGAAAAGGCAGCCTTTAATAATTCTTCCATCCTCAGAGTCATTAACCTGAGCGTTCATTAAATTAGCGTTACTGGAAGCATCACAGAGCTGAGATAATTGTCCCAGCACTCAAAACCTCGCTCCTCCCACACCCTCTCCTACACAAGGATGGAAAACCTTGGGCCGGCGTTCCTGAAGGCTTAAGGTGGATACAGGGATATTCAGAAGTGTCCGAGGACTGAGTTTATTTTCTCCATCTTTAGTCCTATAAAAACCAGGCTCCTGATTCATCCGGGCTGCTGCTGTAATTATGTGAGATTATCACACGGAGAGGATGATTTGGCCCATTTTGTGATAAAATTCTCATGTTAAATAGCTGAAGTTAAAAGAAATGGCATGTGAGAAGTAGTACCCAGCAAGCAGAGCAGCTCAGCCCGTGTGGAAAGAGATCAGGATTTGGGTCCCAGGGTTTGTGGATTAGGGAAATGGATTTGCAGCTGCTGCCTGGGCTGCTCAGAGCATTCCTGAACTCCCTCTCTGCCCAAGTTTTAAAACACTGATCCCCCAAACATCCCCATGTCTCCACCAACCGGGCAGGGAACCAAACTCTTGGTTTTCTGAGGTTGAGATGACCCCGAGGTGTTAGAAAGTCTCTTTTTTTCCCAGCCCCATGACCAAAGAAGAACTCGAGATTCATCTGTTCTGCTTTTCAAGGTTATTTTTTCTTATCTATTACATTCTTTCTCTGACCTGCTGAGATCTGTCCTGCAGGTCTGGTTGTGGCATAGTGCCTGCCCTTGGGGTGGTGTTAACTTTTTATACTAAGAACTACATGTACTTTATTTACAATAATTTTCCAATACCTATCACCTGTGTTAGACAGTCTGTCTATATTCTAAACCAATCCAGAAGTGTCACCATCCCAGCAGAAGATGGAGGACAAGAAGAAGAAGGACAGGAGACGCCCAGATTCCTCCATCTTGCCTCTTGAACCCCCATTCTAAAACCCTCAAAATTCTACTTTTTCACCCTGTGACAAATTAACTATCATTCTGCTCAAACTCTTGTGGCTTGTAAATCTTCACACAAAGTTGGTAATTTTTTCCATGGACTAAAATTGAAGGCAGAGGTGTTTTTGACTCCATGCCAAGGTCTCTGTGCCCCTTGCCAGGGTCTCCAATCATCCAGGGCAGCCAGAGGAATGTCCTGGGTTCCGACACCAAACGGACGTGGTTAAAGGGGAAAAGAGGGGAAGAGAGGATCTGGTTGGAGAGGGAAGCAGGGTTTAAATGGGGATCTCTGGCTCTGCTGACACCTCGGGCCTCGGGCATCCTTTCCCCAATGCAGCTTTCCCAGCCCTGACCTCAATGCGACAATTCCCGCGGGGACAATCACACGGCATCAGGAATTCACTGCTGCTCCGGGAAGGAAGATCCTTTACAAGTGTGAACAGCCTCCAAACTGGAGCTGAAACTGATCTGTGCAGGGGCTCAGCCAGTGCTGAAAAACTCCTTTTTTGAGCATCCAGGGCTCCCGTTGTCGTTATCCCCGTGTGCGAGGCTCCCAGCTCTTTCTTCTCACCCCCAGGATAATGCCCTCACCCCTTTCTGCCCCGAGGGGATCCTCAGTGAAATCCCCGGGAATGGAATCATGTGTGGATGCTCATTCATCCCAACAGGATGCCACCGCCAAGGACGACCACAACGCGCGGCTCCATGGTCACCTCTGTGGTTTTCTCAGGAATTCTTGGCTCAAATGGAGTCGGGAAACCTCTTTTAGATGCTGAGTTTGAAGAGGGTCCGGCAGCACTGCTTGAGATGCAAGGATGTGGCTATAATAACAACTAACAGTGTTGATTTTATGTTTGGACTCAACAATGTGAAAGGTCTTTTCCAGCCTAAATCTCTTAAATCTCTGGTCTTTGTTAGTCCTTTCCAGCTCAGCATATTCTGTGATTCTACAAACATTTCCTCTGCATTTATCTTAATTTTTACCTGCTGAATGAATACTGAACTAAAAAAAAAAAAAAAAAAATTTATGTTTGGACTCAACAATGTGAAAGGTCTTTTCCAGCCTAAATCTCTTAAATCTCTGGTCTTTGTTAGTCCTTTCCAGCTCAGCATATTCTGTGATTCTACAAACATTTCCTCTGCATTTATCTTAATTTTTACCTGCTGAATGAATACTGAACTAAAAAAAAAAAAAAAAAAAAAAAAAAAAAAAAGAAAAAAAAAAAAAGGGGTTTCATCCATTAATGACAAAGATGTTTCCCAAAGTAGTGTGCAAACAGGGAAGGACAACGTTTCCCAGTAAAGTTTGCTGTCTTGGGAAATGGATTTGTATTGAATTTGTTTACCACAAGTGCTGGTTAGAAAAGGTGGAAAAAAGATTCGAGCCCACTGTGGAAGGAAATTTCTTTATAGCAGGGATGAAGCACAGCACTGAAGATGTCCTGGAATCCCACAATGGTTTGGCTTGGAAGGATCTTAAAATTCCCTAGTACCTTCCACTATCCCAGGTTGCTCCAAGCCCTGTCCAGCCTGACCTTGGACACTTCCAGAGATCCAGGGGCAGCCACAGCTTCTCTGGGCACCCTGTGCCAGGGCCTCACCACCCTCACAACTAAGAATTCCTTCCCAATATCCCATCCATCCCTGCCCTGTGGCAGTGGGAAGCCATTTCCTGTGTCCTGTCCCTCCATCCCTTGTCCCAGGTCCCTCTCCAGCTCTCCTGGAGCACCTTTAGGCCCTGGAAGAGGCTCTGAGCTCTCCCTGGATCCTTCTCTTCTCCAGATAAACACCTCCAGCTCTCACACAGCCTTTCCTCAGAAAGGTGTTGCACCTGCCTTGGGTGGATTTTGTGCTGCTTTCTCTTATCCCTGGGTTTGTGTCCAGAGATTCCAGAGCTGGATGTGCTCTTGGTGCTCCAGCTACAGCAGCCAAAAGGAGAATATTCCTCTTTTTGAGGGGGCTGCAAACCTGCATTTGAAGACTTGCCCAGGCTGGGTGAGTGATGGTTGTCCTTGCAGCAGCAGGAAAGTTTTCAGGAAAGTGACTGTGGCTGCAAGAAGGATTTGTCAGGATTATTGTTTGTCTGCTGCCCAGTTCCTGGCTGCCAGCCCCCAAAATTCACAGTGGCAGGTACCCAGCACCTCCATGCAGCAGCTCTGCAGAGGAGACAAGGACTGGGTGAGCAGTCACAGCAAATGCTCCTTTTCTCTCTGGGCTGGTGTCTCTTGCTGACAGGTCCCAGGTATCCTCCTGGGGCCTCAGGAGCATGTGGAAAAGGCTGGGAATGACAGGGGCTCAGTGCACTGAGCCAGAGCTTGGGACTGATCTCTTCCTCTTGCCTCCTGTATGTATTTATTCTGCAGGATCTCAGTGCTGAGCTGCGAAATTTCTAATTCAAATTCCATTTTTTCCCCTCCCCAAATCCTCACAAACCTGAGACAGAGATTGATTTTCCCACTCAGGCTGCTCTGAGGGACCTGAGGTTGTTTCCAGCTGTAACATTCCTGCTTCTGCCACAGGTGGACAGCGGGGGACCTCTGGTCTGCAGCTACTGGAACACCGTGAAGTGGTTCCAGGTCGGCATCATCAGTGGAGGAAACCCAAACCAAAAAAAAAAAAAAAAAAAAAAAAAAAAAAAGAAAAAGGAGAAAGAAAAAAAGATAAGAATATTAATGACCAGAGCCCTCCAGCTACTAGAATGGGAATTCATCCATAAACTTCAGTGAGTGCTGATGAGCTGCACAGGGAACTTCATCCCCTTCCTTGCTCGTTAATTAATGTGTGTTAGCTCAGGGTAGCTGCTGGCAGAAGGGGTTTCATCCATTAATGACAAAGATGTTTCCCAAAGTAGTGTGCAAACAGGGAAGGACAACGTTTCCCAGTAAAGTTTGCTGTCTTGGGAAATGGATTTGTATTGAATTTGTTTACCACAAGTGCTGGTTAGAAAAGGTGGAAAAAAGATTCGAGCCCACTGTGGAAGGAAATTTCTTTATAGCAGGGAGGAAGCACAGCACTGAAGATGTCCTGGAATCCCACAATGGTTTGGCTTGGAAGGATCTTAAAATTCCCTAGTACCTTCCACTATCCCAGGTTGCTCCAAGCCCTGTCCAGCCTGACCTTGGACACTTCCAGAGAAACCGGGGCAGCCACAGCTTCTCTGGGCACCCTGTTCCAGGGCCTCCCCACCCTCACAACTAAGAATTCCTTCCCAATATCCCATCCATCCCTGCCCTGTGGCAGTGGGAAGCCATTTCCTGTGTCCTGTCCCTCCATCCCTTGTCCCAGGTCCCTCTCCAGCTCTCCTGGAGCCCCTTTAGGCCCTGGAAGAGGCTCTGAGCTCTCCCTGGATCCTTCTCTTCTCCAGATAAACACCTCCAGCTCAGCCTTTCCTCAGAAAACATAAACACAGCCTTTCCTCAGAAAAGTGTTGCACCTGCCTTGAGTGGATTTTGTGCTGCTTTCTCTTATCCCTGGGTTTGTGTCCAGAGATTCCAGAGCTGGATGTGCTCTTGGTGCTCCAGCTACAGCAGCCAAAAGGAGAATATTCCTCTTTTTGAGGGGGCTGCAAACCTGCATTTGAAGACTTGCCCAGGCTGGGTGAGTGATGGTTGTCCTTGCAGCAGCAGGAAAGTTTTCAGGAAAGTGACTGTGGCTGCAAGAAGGATTTGTCAGGATTATTGTTTGTCTGCTGCCCAGTTCCTGGCTGCCAGCCCCCAAAATTCACAGTGGCAGGTACCCAGCACCTCCATGCAGCAGCTCTGCAGAGGAGACAAGGACTGGGTGAGCAGTCACAGCAAATGCTCCTTTTCTCTCTGGGCTGGTGTCTCTTGCTGACAGGTCCCAGGTATCCTCCTGGGGCCTCAGGAGCATGTGGAAAAGGCTGGGAATGACAGGGGCTCAGTGCACTGAGCCAGAGCTTGGGACTGATCTCTTCCTCTTGCCTCCTGTATGTATTTATTCTGCAGGATCTCAGTGCTGAGCTGCGAAATTTCTAATTCAAATTCCATTTTTTCCCCTCCCCAAATCCTCACAAACCTGAGACAGAGATTGATTTTCCCACTCAGGCTGCTCTGAGGGACCTGAGGTTGTTTCCAGCTGTAACATTCCTGCTTCTGCCACAGGTGGACAGCGGGGGACCTCTGGTCTGCAGCTACTGGAACACCGTGAAGTGGTTCCAGGTCGGCATCATCAGTGGAGGAAACCCAAACCACAGGATTTTAACACCTGTTTACAGCTACCAGGACTGGATTGAAAAGGAAACAGCCATAAGGGGAAAACCTTTCTTCACTGAGGGTGTAGACAGTGAAGCACATCTCAGGGTTGCTCGTTCCAGGGCTGGAACACAGGTGGTGTTTCTGGGGTATTGTCTCCTTTTATTAATCTTTTCAATAGCAGTTAAATTAGCCTGAGAGAAGATTTTTGAAAATAAAAGTCAGAACTGCCACTTCACTCTTTTTTCTGAGGCCAACCTGCTCAGTGTCACTGACGTGGACACAGGGACCAACAGGAGTATTGCATTTGTGGGGTGCCCCAATGAAGGAAGGAATGATGAATCTGACTCCATGTTCTTAGAAGGATAATTTATTATTTTATGATACTATATTATATTAAAGAATACTATACAACACTATACTAAAGAATACAGAAAGGATACTTACAAAAGGCTAAAAAGATAATAATGAAACTTGTGACTCTCTCCAGAGCCTCGACACTGCTTGGCCCTGATTGGCCAATGAGTCAAAACAATTAATATGAAACCAATGAAACAATCACCTGTTGGACCATCAATCTCCAACCACATTCCAAAGCAGCAAAACACAGGAGAAGCAATGAGATAATAATTTAACCAATGAAACAATCACCTGTTGGACCATCAATCTCCAACCACATTCCAAAGCAGCAAAACACAGGAGAAGCAATGAGATAATAATTTGTTTTCCTTTTTCTCTGAGGCTTCTCAGCTTCCCGGGAGAAGAATCCTGGGCAAGGGGATTTTTCCAGAAAATATGTCTGTGACACGGGAGATGTCCCAATGAGACAGGGAGGGAGGCAGAGGGTGGAGAAACGAAATGAAGGAGGCAGGATTTGGCCAAGAAGAGCCATAGTCCTCTGGAAAACACAGATATTCCACACTGCTGGGTCACACTCGGCTCAGCTGTTTGCTAAGTTCAGATGCCAAGTGGAGATGTGGTATTGGAAGGTGCTGATCCCCTTGGGAAGTTGAACCCCAGAGGAAGAGATTCGCTCCTTCATTATCATTAGACGTTGTGGGATAGCTCTGGGCTTTTGAATCTTACAGATTAGCTGGACTAATTTATTTTAGTCTAATTTTAACTAATTTTATTTTTACTAAGAGCACCCACAGAGAGCTCAGCCTGTCCTCAGGTGCTGTCAAACTTCTGGGACAGAACCACTGAGCCCCTGGCACAGGGTGCCCAGGGAAGCTGTGGCTGCTCCTGGATCCCTGGAAGTGTCCAAGGCCAGGATGGACAGGCCTTGGAGGAACCTGGGATAGTGGAAGTTGTCCCTGCCATGGCAGGGGGTGGGGTAGGATTTAAGGTTCATTCCAACCCAAACTATTTTAGGATTTTGTGATGAGAGAAGTGTTTGGGGACTATCCAGAAAATGCTGCCTACAAAACCGCCTGAGTCTTATAAATAATCAAAATTAATCCCTTGCAAGTCAATGGCAAAGAAAAAGGAAAGAGATTTTTTTTTCCAGTCTATTAGAAGTGTTTTTTTCCTAAATTGCTGACAGCTTCACATCCCAGCCTGAGCAGGTCCTCCACATCCTTCCATCCTATACATGGTCTTTTATCGATCTCCAGCATTCCAAACATGTTCTGCTGTTCACAAGGAGGTTTCAGCTTTTCTTGGAAGTGATGGGGAAGGAGAGAGGCAGCAAAGTCCCCTTCATATCCCACCTTTGCATAAAAGCACCTGCAATTTGCAGCAATGATAAAACCCAGTGAATGTGCAATGGGACAGAACCTCACAAATTGGTTTTAATTACCTTGATATTTTCTGGCTAGCTGGCAGAAAAGCCTTGTAAATGAGAATTAATTCATTTACCTTAAGCTAATGCAAACCCATCTTGGCATAAAAGTCAGGCTTTATTTTCTGTGTTATCTGAGCAGAAAATAATGCTTAATTATTATTAGTTCTGAGTAATGCTTATGAAAATTGCTCCACATTAATTTCACATGGCTGACTGGCTAATGGATGCATAAGGGTCTTGTAACCCTTTGCAAAAAGACTAATAAGAGCTAAAAACAAGGGGAATATATTACTTTAACAGCTATTAGTAGCAGACAGTGTCTGCTGGCATTAATACCTATATTTATTTTCCTTTCTATTAATAATATATCAACAAATTCTGGAAGCCATGGACATCAGGAAATATTTCCTAATGTTGCAATCTCTTCAGCTGCGGAATTGTTTCCCCCAGAGGAAATGAGAGAAGTCCTCCTGCTTAAATTATTTTAATGTAGGGGTTGTATAAAGCACTTTTGTCTCCAGCACATGGCAGGGAAAAAGCCTGGGCTTACAGGGGCCTGCAAAATGACCCAGTAGGTCTTTTCCATCAGAAGCATTTGCAAATTGATCATGGTCTGTGCTAAATGAAGGCAGGGCACTGCTGCTCTGGGCTTTGATTCATCCTGCTCTTTATTTATTCAATGGATTTGGGGGTAAGTTTGTGCTTGGTGCCTCAATTTCTCTGCTTGTAAATTGAGAGCATGAAAGAGGCTCGTGTTCCTATGTGGAGCATCACTTCTGCAAGTTCAGACCAGAAATAAGCAGGGAAAACCCTTCCCTCCTTATTTAAAACATCATAAAACTCAGTAAAATGAATTAATCTCTGTTACTTCTTCCACTGTTCAATAATTAGGGTGAGACAGGACACATCTGTTTAACATTTGCAGGCTGCAATTAGGTCTGATGAAAACATCTTGATGCTGTGTTCTTTTCTGAGGGTATTTGGGTTTTCAGGGAGTGTTCCAATTGTGGACTTGGACAGGAATATTTTGGAGTCACTCAAACTCAAAATGCAACTGTTCAGTGGGACACATTAATTTTTTAGCCTTCCAGCATTGGTGTGAATGTTCATTCTGTTATAGTATTCTGTATTTGTAGAATCCCAAAATTATTTGGGTTGGAAGGGACCTTAAAGACCATCCCATTCCATCCCCTTCCATGGGCAGGGACACCTTTCACTATCCCAGGTTGCTCCAAGCCCCATCCAACCTGGCCTTGGACACTTCCATGGATCCAGGGGCAGCCACAGCTTCTCTTTTGGGTTTAGAACACCAAAGTGAAGCGTTTCCAGGCTGAAGGACCTCAACATTTATGCTTCAGTCTGCAGCTGGCAAAGTTCACTTTTTGTCCTAACTTACAGCTCATTTCTTATTGCTCCTCCCTTCTTTCCAGAGACAGATTTTGTTTGCAGCACTACACCTTTAGCAGCAAATAAACAGGATATGGAAATGCTTAGAGACCTGGGAAAACATCTGTAAGAGGATTCGGGGGGGGAAAAAAAATAGGAGGATATGAGTACTCAAGCAGAGAAAAGAGGTGGTCAGGAGCTGCTTGCACGTTTTGCTGAGGAGATAAGAAGAAAAGCTCCCGTGAGCACTGAAGGCAGCAATTTAAAAGCCAATACATCAAAGTAATTTTGGCTTCGTTCTGCAGAGATTAAGGGCTTTGTGTATCCACGCGTTTCCCTGTCTGCCCAATCCCAGCTGGCAATCACACGCCAGCTGGAGCAGGGAGCTGGGAGAGCTGAAGATGATGATGTTTGTGCAAATTTGGCAGCAAGAGCTGGTGGAGGTGAAGGGTGGGGAGGGCCCCAAGCACATTCGTGTGGCTCCACCCCAGAGAAGGAAGGTGGGAAAAGCAGCAATCCCTGCTCACAGGTAATTCCTGCTGCTGGAGAAATCCAGCTTTTACTCATCCTCCTGGTGGAAGGTGCCCCTGCCCATGGGATGAGCCTTGAGGTCCCTTCCAACCCCAAATATTCCATGATTCTGTGATTCAAGGGGATGATCCCACACCTGTCACACAGCTCCTTCCCAGTGCATGTCACCTGGGGGATCTGAAGGCAAAGCAGCTGCCCTTGTAGGGGACTGAGCTTTCCCATTTTCTCCTTTCCCAGCCTGGGTTTCTTCACAGGGGTAAAACACAATAAAAAGCCCAGGTTTGTCTTCTCCTGCTCCCCTCTGCACCCTGAGCACCTCTTGGTCCCTCTGTGGAGAAGGCAGAGGGCACACATGGTTCTGACTGTGACCACTGCCATCCATTTGTCACTCCTTATGCGCTACATGGACTGAAATGTGATTTTTATTTATAATAATGTAGGTTTTGAGGTGGAGACTGGAGGCTGCACAGGATCAGAACCTACTCCCACAATTCCCAGAGCTTTCACTTATGGCTTCCATGCCATTTTTCAGAGTGAGAGCTCTGTTTATCCTTCTGTAAGCATGGGAATAATTAAAGAGCAGGGATGTCCCTTGGGACGCACCAATGGTGAGAGTGATTAATCACTGATGTTAATTGAAGGTGGCTCTGGGACAGAAAACACCACTGACAATACTGAACTCCTTGATTTGTTGAAAAAAAAAAACAACTGGTGAGCATTTCTGGTGTCAGGCTGAAGACACTCAGGGACACTTTCCACCATCCCAGGTGGCTCCATGCCCTGTCCAAACTGGCCTGGGACACTTCCAGGGATGGGGCAGCCACAGCTTCTCTGGGCAGCAAGAGGAGCAGCTTGGGCAGACCCCCCTCCTTCACTGTTCTGTCACTGGTCACTGCTCCTGGTGGTTAATAGGGTTTGTAAAATGGCAGCAGCTGAGCTTAGAACACCCTGCAGCACCAGAAAACATCTTCTTTTTGGGTATTTCCAACTATCTGCCTCCCATGTCCTTTTCTGGGGGTGTCCTGTGCTCTCTAACACTTCTTGTATTCACAGCTGTCCCGTGGTGACTCATTGCTCCAAGGGCTTTTCAATATGGAGTTCCCTTTGTTCCCACAGACCAAACCACTAAAATGATTTGCCAAAATGCATTTGGCTCCTCTGCTGCAAAGTTTGGGCTTCAGCACAATGCTGGAATGTAAAATTTCCTCTTCCTTAAGGTTTTTGAACTTGCGTGTCTTAATACCACCTCTACAGGCATTGGCAACAATGTAAACAACTCCAGAGCTGCCCATGTGCCTTGGAAAATAAAGTGGGGAAAAGATGATTTAGGCACTGAGTGCAGACACAGGAGTGTTGAGAGTTTTTTGCAGGACAATGAACACGGCCAA